GTAACTCAACTACGTGTAATAAGTGTGACAGAAATGTAACTCAGTGGAAAATCCATAAGCTGTAGAGTCAGACAGACTCAGATGCTTATCTTAAGCCTCTTAGTGTGCAAATTCCCTAGGGGTAATTGTGAGAAATTGAATAAAATTCTWTTCGAAAATATTCACTGAGCATCCAAACAGTCCAATGTATGCCATAGTTGCAAACAGCCTTCACATTCAATGGCATAAAGCAATCTAACTTTGTGTCCTAGTGATCTTCCATGTCAAGTGCAAGTTGGTTTCTTGCCATCCTCACACAGACCGTCAGCCCCGACCAGGAATTTGCTGGGCACAGGGGTTCACAGCAATGAGAAGTCTTAGGAAGGTCTCGTAGTAACAATTAAATGCTTTGCTGAAAATATGACAATCTGTCAGTCAACACTGGTCTGTTGGCCTTATCCTTCATAGGGAACCCAAGAGGTCACTCTTACCATGACCCCATAATGGGCAGAACTAGACAAATGTGCAGACAGTACCACTGACTACTTGGTGTAGAATGAACCAGACTTTGAAATGGGTATGGAAGGCCTCGAAGAGCCCAGGCCCCAGGAGGCAACMTTTACACGTGGTTTTCCTTGTATTACTGTCAAGCACTGAACTAACAAATTCTGTAGGAAGCCAAGAAATGATGATCTGGAGAAGTGCTTCCACTGCACGGCTCCCTGGCATACATTTGAAATCTCCGTTCTGTTCCTGTCACCTGCAATTTTCTGAAATAGCAGATGGTGCCTTCTGCCTTCCCTGGGGACACTCTGGAATAAATGAAGAGGTAGACTTGAGGGAGTTCTTTTTGCCTGGGGGTTTATCTTGCCACTGTACATTTCTGTTCCTGAAGGCTGACCCTGGTGTTGGTGGTATCTCCTGGGTCACCTCTGCAGCAATAACGATGATGTGGCTGGTGGAGGATCTGAAAGCTGGAGCTGTAATGATGTAAGGAGGCAGGTTGGCTCATCAGTAGGACTTGCTGGCTATCCAAAGACAAGCTGTTTTCTATCCCTTTCCCTTTCTTTCCTGAATGTACTTGAGGATCCTTAGGTAATGTCTTCTGATTTACCACTTGTCTTTGTTTTTAATATCAAGGAAAGAAGATAGATTGACGTGATTGCCTTGGTAGCAACTTCAGTGGTGATGGGTGTGGAGTTATTAAAATTTATAGTCAAGCTGTTTCTGCAGCTCCGCTTTGCTTATCTTAGAAAGGCTTATAAAAGGCACCAAAAGGACTGTGGAAAGAGAATAGCCAGCAAATTGCAGTTGACAGGGAATCATCACCACACAGAGCCTTTTGATGGTCTGTTTGCTAAAATTGACATTTATTTTCACAATATATTTTGATGACCAGGTCAGCCAAACCAACCAGACCTCAGTTCATGCCAATACTTTAATTAACTAATGAGAGGAAAGAAGATGGACCTTTATTTCTTGAGCTCCAGAAGCATACACAGCCATGTGGCAGGTGCTTCCCACACACGGACTCTTCTGTAAACCTCACAATAAGCTTTTTTTTTWAAATATTTATTTTTTAGTTGTAGTTGGTCACAATAGCTTTATTTTATTTATTTATTTTTATGTGGTGCTGAGGATTGAACTCAGAGCTTCGCACGTGGGAGGTGAGCGCTGTAACACTGGGCCACAACCCCAGCTGTCTCAACAAGCTTTTAAGGGAGTAGTTTTCTTCTTCTTCCTTGATGCATCCTTTTATAGGAGAGAAATTAGAACTTAAATAACCTGCCTCAGACCATAGAATATTTTTTTTCAAATCTTCATACAACCATAGAATGTGAAGAGACAGAGATATTATCAGTCACATCCTATGCTAAAAAAAAAATCTGTTTATCCTATTGAACTAATCAAATTCTTCAGTAATCACAGATCATTACTGATGGTCAAATGAGTCCCTTCTCCTGAGCTCATCCATTTCTAATATTTTCATAATGTTTTGTTACTTGTAAAGTACTATCATATTCATCATCTCATTTTATCTTTGAAAAAGCCCTCTGAATATGGAAAGCTGGTATTTCATCCCTATCCTGTATTATCAAGGAACGGGTTCAGAATAGTTAAGTAACTTGCCCAAAGTCAATAAGAGCTGACACCAAATCCTGGGATAAAAATGCTTTTTATCCCTCCCATCATCTCTTCTGTGGCTGCAATGAGCCCCACAGTTTATTTTTATGGCAGCTGAACTCAAGGGATTCAGGCCTGGGCAACTATATGGGTATTGGCCACAAGGCTTCCATGACTTATAATGAACTGAAACAAAGTAGTTAGCCACAAATTATAATGCCACTGTGGTCCCMTGACAAATGACAAGGAGGTAGTGGGAATGAAATCTTATTACTACAAATAAAGAGACCACATCTGAGGTCTAGTCCAGCCACATTTACCACTGCAAGAAGCAAAATGGAAACATCTGGGTGAGGGTCTACCCTGAATTTGGCTGTGTACTAACAGGATTAAGAAGATCTYTCTGAAACAGTATTGCAATGGCAAATGTGTGGTGCCTTAGATAAGGACGAAATATTTATTCTGGCAGAGATTAAATCTTTTCTTTTCCTGGATCTATTATGGATCTTGCAGAAAATCTGCCGAAGAATATATCTTGTTGATCAGCCAACTCACTGAGCCAAAACTGTGCTTTGCCRCTGCTGTTGCTGAAAAGCTGCAGAATGCTGGTTTAAAGGTCTCCTTTCTCYCCCTAAAACTGTTCTCCATCCGTGATTAATTAGTGACTCAGAGGTAAATTGAATCACCAGCCGTCCCTTTCACGCATCCAGGATTTATGTAGTGGTTTCTYGTTGGAGAGCAGGGGTGCAATAAACACCCCACATTTGTGGGTGGGCAGAGGAGGAATGGTGTCTGTAGTCGTGGTTTCTTGCCTCCTCCAGTCCTTTTATTCTGCTAAGCAGGTTATGACTCAAGCCATCATAGCCTTGCTTATTTAGGAATGAGGGTATGAACACATACACACACACACACACACACACACACACACACTCAGAAATAAATCACAGTTCTCTAAGAGAAAATAGAAAAGTCACATTGTCATTTCTAAATTCCTTGAGGATCGAGGAAAAAATATAAATTGGATTATAATGTTACTGATTATGGGCACAGAAGGTCCAAAAAAGAACCCATAGTCAGGTTCATGTTTCCATTCATCATTTTGTTTTAATGTGAGGTACTTTGTTTAGTATGGAGATGTAGAGATGAAACAAAATAAAACAGAACACAGTGATCCCAACAGAGATTTAAGAAGTCCTAAGTATGCTTGGTAACCATTTGGGTAGGCATTTGGATCACTTTTTCCAGGGAATAGCAGGTGAGAAATGTGGACATCGGCTGATGCTGTGTGCTATGCTCTGAGGACACAAAGGAAACAATAATGTCCACTCTGTATCTTTTCATCCCTGAATGTGGATGGCATTTTTGTTGACTGGTCTGTATTCCTATCTTCTAAGATCAAGACTTTGGGTACTTGTTCATTCTTTCAATTGAATACAAGATGTATTTGCATACTAAAGGACAAATGGCAAGTTGAAGACACCTATGTTTTGGGAAAACAAGTGAAATCTATCAAACAATGTGGAAACCAATGCCCATCTCACAAGAAGTCTTAATTTATTGACTTCAGTATAGTAGATGCTTAATAAAGATTGATTTATGTATTGAAAGAATGAATTACTAAATCTAGAATTCAGTGATATCTTTCCTAGAACTTAGTTAATATGGATTCTATACTTCTTTAACCACATTCACTTGCTTCTTTTTCAATCTCTTCTTCTAATTGAACAAATAGAGAAAACAAAAGCTAGTGAACAAATACTGTGAYCCATTCTTGTAGAACATCAAAATTGCAGCTGAATTTTATTATTTTTGTATGTCCAATGTATTGCCAATAAGTCAGACAACTAGAGAAATATAGGAGGATTCTTTCCTTCTCTCTTGCCCCATCCTTCCTCTACTTTACTATGCTGCAATGGCACCCTAAGAAGTTGAAAAAACTGAATGTACAGGATCCCCGAGGTCACTTTCGTTTTGTTACATTGTGAAATACTAATTCCAATTCTTAGTCATAACCAATTACTAGAGGAAAAGTTTTAATAGCATTATTATTTGTGGTTTGTTGTTTTCTGGCATTTTCGAGGAAATATCCTCATCACCACTACTATCACCATCTCCGTAATCATTTTCATTGTCACAATGTCACTCTTCTCACATTCATTGAAATTTGCCCTCTCACAAGTCTTTTGCAACCACTGACATATTCTTCTGCTGTGTAACATAATCTACAACACTGACTATTACATCTGTCTTTGGATTAAGTTGAGGAATAGGGCTACCAGTGTAGGAAGAGTGGCAGCCATTTCATTCTGAAAACCCTGGCTCAGTTTCACTATCCTTTCCTGAAAACATCAATTTAAATGTGGTTTGGATCTGTAGAAAGTATCACTGGGATTTGGTCTATAATGCCAATTGCTCTGCCATTGGCTCTGAACCATTCTATACCTTTCCCCTTGGCCTCAATTGCCTCAAAACGTGCAGGCAGGCTCATATTTCCTTTTTCATCCAAATTGGAATGGTGAAATGATTTAAGACCCAGTGTTGTATTAGCCTCTTTTAGAAAAACAGACCTAATCCATCTTGCAGAAATGAACTTTGCAATGTCACTTCCTCATTGTTAGGTAACTCTGTGGTTTCAGCCTTGATATCCGTTGAGGGCAATGGATGATGTAACCTGTGCAGTGCAGCCTGTGAGAGCAATTTGGGTGGCTTTATACCATTGGTTTTTATGTTCAGGATGAAAGCCCATGGAGAAATATAGGATACTATTATTAACTTCACACTGACAGCTCCCTTGAGGCACCTACAGGTTTATTGCTAGTTGGAGGATCAACTTTAAGGGAGAAAAGTTTGTGGTCAGTGATAACTATGTCTATTTTCCTTTCTTTTTTAAATTACAGGAACAGGGAAAAATTGGTGTTGTTTTCAATATTGGCACAGTTGACATCTCCATCAAAGAGGAGAGGACCCCAGTCAATGATGGCAAATACCACGTGGTGCGCTTCACCAGGAATGGAGGCAATGCCACCCTCCAGGTGGACAACTGGCCAGTGAATGAACACTATCCTACAGGTACCAGTTTTGCTCTCAATAGCCATCTTCTCTTTCATGCTCCCATTAACAAGGCAATTTTTCTCATGACTGTTACCAATCACGAAACACTGAGAGAAACACATGTTCATGCTTTCTACATTGAGAAGATAAGTGATTTCTTATAGGACTCGCTCCRTATAGGGAACTTCTGGAGACTTACTAACTATGCACTGCACATTTATTTTTTTTGCCCAATTTAACCAATACTGTCTGACTGGTTCATACAAAGAACAATTACTATAGTTTTTCCAGGTAGCTACAAATGATAGCAGTGCAGGAAAGGGACCCTGTCTCTATTGTGAGCTATCCTGGATCATTACAAGGTAATCAACTTGAGATCTGAAGTTTGTGGCACCATTTACTCAAGTATGATTAAAGGTGCAGATGGCCCGAGGTGGCAGAAGAAAACAAAAGGTTTACTAAACTGTAGTGCATGTACATTAAGGTAGGGGGACAGGGAGAGAAAAAGCACGGGTGGAATTGCATTATTTGGCTGACTTTGGCGGTTGTATTTTTCTCACTTGTACTCAGCCTGCCTTGATTTTCAGAGATTGGTCCTGGTAGTCATTTTAATAGCAAGCAGGCTGATGTGGGAGAGRGAGGGGTTAATCATCCATTTAAATTTTACAGTCAAGGAGCATCCGGCAACAAACTCCCAGAGCCAGATGGCTGAATCAAGGGCAATGGGAGAAAAGGTTGCCTCCTTTAAAGGGATCATCCAAATAATCCCTTAGCTTTTCCTCTCATCTCTCACTTTTCCTAGGAAGAGCCCTGAGCCCTGGTCATAAAGGTGCAAGGGCCCTTAACTTCACAGTTGCATTGTTACCAGGTAGAGGTAAGAATGGTGTGCTCCCCACACCATGTCTACCTCTCTATCCTGCACTTTGAATCCCCTCAATTCCTGTTTTCCTCTTATGCTCCCTATGCACTGAGATAGGCACATCAACAAAGACCCTAGAAGCACATTTCTAGAAGTCTAAGAGCTARCTAACTAATAATTATCAGATTTGAGACAAATACTCAGAGTAAATACATCTACTCTCATAGCCCAAGACGTTTGGATGGCTTGAAATCCATGATGGTGTTTTTATGCCTGAATCATCATTAATTTTTATTAAAAGCCAATCAGAAGTATCTGTGTTGTTAGGTTGTTCCCTAATATACAGAGTCTCCCTCTATGTGGTTTAAGAATTAGAAGAGCCAGGGTCCCCAAGGGATTGGAGCAAAATGTCCATGCTACCCATTCATCTGCTATCTTAGTTTTCAAAAAAGTTGTCAGCTCAGTCATCACTGGGGGCCTGTTAGCAATGCTTAGACTAAGGCACCCCAAAGACCTCATAAGGTTATCTTTGAACACTTAGAGCAAGCCAGAGGTGTTCGCAGTTACCATGGATTCTTATCATCATCCAAATTCACTGGACATTAATAGACTTGATTTTTAAATGCTTCTTGCTTAAACCCTGGGGAAATTGGTGGGGGTCGGTGAGAGAAACCAAAATAGCCTGAGCTCTTAAAAGCTGTTCATTTGCTCATAGGAAAAATCAATCTCTCTCTCCATGTATATTATCATTGGCCTTAAAATTGCTGCTGGAGGGTTTGTTTTGTTTCCATTAGGAATTTCAAAGATTTCTAAATTGATGTTAAACACTTGCCCTGAGCCAATAGAAAATCCACCAGTTTGCTGCCAGCAATGAGAAGGCTGTTTAATGGTCATTTTAAAGCCAGAGATAGGTAAGGAAACCAGTGACCCTTGCCGTGCACCTCTCTTTGTGTCTTTAGTTCCAAATTATGGGTTGCTTCYTGTATGTTTTCAAAGCGGAGTAAAACCTTTCTTTGATGGCATTGCTTTCTCCTGAAAACTATTATTATCATTGTAACTGTCATTTAGTAATAACCTATGGTATTATTTCAGGACAGGGGACAGTATGGCAGTTATAAGTGTGGGCCTTGGAGTCAACTGACGCCCTGGGAACTTGGCTTCATCAGATGTGTCTAGGCGGTAGGATTAAGACCTTGAAATACCCTAAACACTGAAATATTTGGTGCCTCTCCCCGACATAGATGCAAAATGCAACACTAAACCATGAGTGTAAGAGTTTCTAAGAGTCTTGATGATTCTTCTCTGAATTGCTACAAAAATTTAAGAATATATCAGATTCTTTCTTCTGAGAGTCCCTTTTATGTGTCTTTCTATTTTGTTAGTTCTCTAAGTGCTCTAGTTCCGAACCTTACATAAGTTATTGAATCTACCTGAACCTCTGATTCTGCATCTGGAAAATGGGGAAATGAGAATTCTCTTCGGAGTTAAAGTTAAGATTAATTGAGATGGGCACTTGTGAACTGCTCAACAAAATACTGGGCAATTAAGTCAGTACTCAATGTTAGCCATGAAGACTATCAAGCATCGTGGTGGCATTTTAAATTATGACATATATGCTTAGGCATATTATATCACTTTGACTCTTATGGTCTCTAAGTTGAGTAAAGTTGATATTTTTATTCTCCATTTCAAAACAGAGACAGGGAGATGATAATCCTTTCCTGAGATCACATAGGAAATGAGGGACAGAACAAGACCAGATTCTATTCCCAATTCGGCAAAATTTTCACTATTGCTTTCATTGCAAATTGCAGGGTGTAGAAATGAGCMTCTTTCTTCTTGTGACATCTTAAATTCATTTCTCTTTATTTCAAAGTGTTGTATTTCAAAGGTAAATTTCCAGTGACCACAAAAAAAGTGGCTGTTATGAGATGTGGAATAGAAAATTCTCATTTAAGAAAAAAAAAGTTCTTTTGACTCCACTGATTCTAAGCTGTCCTGGAGCCATTCTTGATTTTGTTGCCTCTCATGAAAAGTAGTAACCCTATGCTAGGTTGAGTGCAAAAAAACTTTTGAGTTTTATGTTCTATTTTGCCAAGACTTCCTGGGAATGGCTCACCATTAGGGTCTTAGCTTATTTTCTCTCCTGCCTTCTTCCCTGTCTGATTGAAAGGATCTACTTAACTAAACTTAGAGTACCATTAAAATAATCTGGAAAAGTTTAATTTGTTGGCTTTAAATTCTGAGACAAAAATGGCCTCTGTATCTGGACATCAAAGTATAAAGCCACCAACTTATATAGGCAATCTTGATACATATTCTGAAAAAAAAGATATATCTTCTTTTTTCCAAASCATTGTTTTATTGATAATAGTAAACCATTAGGAGCTATAAAGAGTAGCTCTGTCTTGCTACTCATCTATTGCTAATGTTTAAATGGTAAAGAGATATGGAGTAGCTCCTACAAAATATTCAGTTAAGTTGTCTCGTTTTGAAGGGAACTGTTCTTACTCACCAGGGCTGAATGTGTCAACCGTGCACCAGGATGAATGGGTCAACTCTCAGATCTTCTCATGGGCATTTATAGGATTTTATGTGGTTCTACTGAAACAWCCCACTGTGAAATATTTAGAACCCAGCTGGGCACAGGGCTTGTAGCACTGGCACTTTTTGAATCAGTCAGGATCCAAAATGGAAATAGTTCTATAGCAATTGGAATCTTATATCACTTAATTCTGGGAGATAGAACTCAAAAGCAACTTCTTTCTTTGAACCTGAAAATAGAAAGACTAAGGAACAGGAGAGGAAATAAAAGAAGAAACAGCCCAGAGCTATCGTCCAGGCACTGACAAATGTTCCTTATAAAGCCTCTGATTGCTGTCTCTATACAATGCCATGGTGAGGACAAGGGAGGGGAGGTGAAAGGTGAGTTGAACATGAGGAATTAATTTTAGCCACAGCTCTGGGCCCCCTGGGAGGCTGAGCTGACTGGGATTGTTCAAGATCCTTTCTCTGCTGTGAGCAGGTGGCAGGTTATGCTGCCAGGGCTGTGAGAACCCTGAGCATGGTGCAATAAGGGCTTTTCAGGTCAGAGCCAAGCTTCCTAGGAGTTGAGGACTGATAAGCATCTCAGCATGTGGAACTTCCATCTTCCCATATTAGGAGATGCTAAGGAGAGCAAAGCCTGATTTTCCCTTGTTATTGTATACCAACTCGGTTGAAGTCACCTTGACTGAATTTCTCTTCAACAGTGTATTACTTCCCTGTCTTTATCACARGATACCTGAGGCAATTAACTAATAAAGAGAGAAGGTTTATTTTGGCTCACAGTTCTGGAGGTTACAAACAATACCTGAAGCAATTAAGTTATACCTGTAGCAATTAACTGATAAAAATGAAAAGTTTATTTTGGCTCAATTTTGTGGGGCTCCAATCTAAGACTGAAGGTTCTATTTGCTTTGAGCTTCCAGTGAGGGCAGCACATGGTGGCAGGAGTGTATGGTGGAGCAAACTGCTCACTTCATTAGTCAGAAAGTCTTCCACATTAGCCAGGAAGCAGAAAGGAAGAAGAGATGAGTGTTCCCCAGTCCCCTTTGAGGATACAACCCCAGTGACCTAAGGGCCTCCCATAACCTCCCATAAGATCTGCCTCCTAATAACCCACAATACTTTCCAAGAGCATGGCCCTGGGGACCAACCCTCTAACACATGGACATTTGAGTGACTCACCCAAACCATAGCAGTCTCTGAGAAGCTCAATGAATTGCCCAGTATCACATAATTTTTTTTTTTTAAAGAGAGAGTGAGAGAGGAGAGAGAGAGAGAGAGAGAATTTTTAATATATATTTTTTAGTTCTCGGYGGACACAACATCTTTGTTGGTATGTGGTGCTGAGGATCGAACCCRGGCAGCACGCATGCCAGGCGAGCGCGCTACCGCTTGAGCCACATCCCCAGCCCAGTATCACATAATTTAAGGGGCAAAGCCAAGATTCTTGTTCTGATCCCCACCCTGCAGCACTTCAAACTCTCTGTCCCATTTCTGTTTCTAAGTCATTATTTTCTTGTTTACAGCACTTTTTTTTCCCCCCTCAAGAATATTTTCAAACAGAAATCAATGTCTGGACTGGTTTAATTTGTAGGATTTCTTAAACTTAGTA